CAAGAATTTTATGCAATAAGCTACACAATACATTTCACAATACATAATTACTTAATAATGACAAGACAGTTGGATTAAATTAATTTAGGCAGTACTTATAAAACAGGTTTTACACAATCATTTTATGACAACAGACACGTTTCTTCATTGTAATTGGTCACAGCGGTCTTCATGAGCTGACAGCCAACTCCACTGTAACAGCCGTTTACAGAACCTCAGGGAATAGAACAAACTCATTAAATCCAGAGAAATTCTTACATTAGTTTATGCTCACAGTTGTAGTAGTTATACTTGTCCAGAAGGTGGCACTAAAGTACCTTAAATTATTTTTGTGCGTGCATTTTCAGATGAGAACGAATTTAACGTGAAGGTCTATTTTTGATTTAATGACTGAATATTTGCCTACTCTGTAATTATCCACATAAATGAGGCCTACCCATGAGCACAAGGCATTTTGTATTTTATATGATTTTATCATCTTGATGATCCCATGCTGGAGCAGGCTGGAATAGACTCGTATTATTTGTGAATAATGCATTTTGTGTTTGGAAAACAAAAGTTAATGGGGGAGTGTGTTGGCACTTGCAGTTGATTTATGTAGATTTTTTTTTCTAAGTCTTTCAATAATGAAACCACTGAAGGTTGGAGGATTGATTGATTCTGCCCTTTGGCAAGACACTTCATCCATCTTACAGTGTGGGGAGAGCGATGGTGGTTGGAGGAATCAATGGAACAAATTGGCAGCTTTTCTGCTGTCAGCCTGCCCCCAGGCAGCTGGAGGCAGACAGCAGACCATCAGAGTGTGGAGGGAGTGAACAGTGACTACAGTGTGGAGCTCTGAGAAGCTTTGTTGGGCCTGTAAAGGACATTATAAAAGTAAAGCATTATTATGATGTATATTTAATACCATAACGTGTAGCTACACACCAGTCTCATCTAATCTGAAGATAAACAGGGTTAAGCCTGGGTGGATGGGAGATTGTTGGAGATATCAAGTGCCACATGGGTTTCACAGTGGGCACATTTAATGTCTGGACTTTATGTTACTCCTGGTTATTAAAAGCTCTGTTGACTAATGTGATGTGTGAATAACTGGACTACTTTATGCTCTTTCATTTATACTAGATTAGAACAGAAACAGAATGCACTTGTACTCACTGACTCCAAACCATGTAGTTCACAGAGAAACTCTTCACACCCGTTTGTCCTGAAATGTGATCATGGTCGTATGAATGCTGATAATTACATAATCTTGTGCTCCACCTGCTCCAGAGCCTTGGACACAGAAAACACAATGAGTGAAATAGTGCATCTTTGGCTCTGTGCGGCTCCTCTGGTGAAGCACAGTTGGTGTGGAGGAGCGCTCCCACCTCCACACAAACACGTTTCTGTCCCTGGGCTGAAGACATCAGGCTTCATACAGTATTATACACAATATGGACCGTGTTCAGTAAGGCTTAACAGTGCTGTCGAGATAAAGGAAAGCGGCTTTTCTTGACTCTAATAGCCTGAATCTTTATGGAGATGATTAGGTGGCAGATCCTCTAACAGAAAAGTTACATAGTGTACCTTTAAATATAACTATGGGTATAAATAAGCAATAAAAACAACCAGTAATACAATCTGAACCTGAGATGCAATTAACTGTCATTTACTGTGACCACATCATAAAGCGCTCTTATGCAAACTAGTTTCTATCTTAAGAGCTGGCAGCCCAAAGGACCTCATTGTGCACTGCTTTCAGAAAAGGCAATGGAGAAATTCAATTTGTCAACTAGTTTATTTTGGTCAAATACATTTCACAGTTCATCCAAGCTGCTTCTTCAGTTCTGGTCAGAATGCTGGTGGACACTTTCTTATATCTGTCTAAAGGGAGGGGATAACTACACTGAAACTACTCTGAAACTAACACACCTACTTGTTGTACAGATTCTAATAGTTAGCTAGGCCTGTTGCATTGCATTGAGTGTGGGGTCAGGCCCATAATGGGTGCTCAGAATGATTATGCTAATATGACTCTACACTCACTGTCAACCAGCATGTGACCAGAGCTGCAAAACGTATTGGACCAAAAAAAAACTGGTCCTGTTGACAAATTTGAATGAACTTCTCCTTTGCCATGGATTCTACCTGGACTGAGCCATTTTACACACACAGAAAAGATAATTTGCTGCTCAACCACAAAATGTAAAAATCAATAAGGTTTAGATCAGACTGTATAAAGAAGTGGATTAAGGGAGTGTGACGTCACCCATACCATTAGGCTCCAGTGAAATTAAACTCACAAGGCCAGCGGTTATAGAGGTGAATTTGGAGCCAAGATCCATATAGGAATAAGAATTTATTTAGAAAAATAAAAACACCAGGATCATGTAGAAGAGGTTAATACAAACATTTTAAAATCAAATGAGGAGCCTGACAGCAGCAGTTACAAAAAGACAGGTGACAATTTTTCTGTGTAAAGAGAATTTATGGACCCAGCAGCACTTCAGTGAACGCTTCCTATTTGGAATGTGGCACCTAGCAGGTTAGCTATGTCCATTTATATATATAGTCTATGATTTAGATAGAAAACATATTGTGGTTGTGACTAAATTAACACAACAATATTATTTCAGTTAATGAAAGGACCCATATTACACTATATAATAATGTTTCCTCATCACAAGCAAGTTGTGTTTTGTTTCATTCACACATTTAACACACAAACCCTTGTTCAGTGTTCTTCTCTCAAACAGAAACCACTCTGTTCCACCTTCTAATGTCATATGGTAATACACCACTGTGTTTTAAAACTCCATACACCTTCACTAGAGCCCTGAAAGTGCCAATCTCTATTGAACAAAAGGTAAAAGAAGCTCTTAACTTGAAAATTATCACTTCATGACATCACAAGGTGGAGCAGAGTATTTTGAGTTTTGGAGATGTACACAGACTAATAATAAATGGTTACTTAAATACGTGGGAAGGAAAAACTAAACACAATTCCAGATGTTTTTGAGGAGATAACAAAATTTTGATTGTAAGAGTCAATTTTGTATTATATAAACACAAATTTGACCTTGAATTTAATTTGTTAGTTTCATTTTTCCAAAAATCCTTTTTTGTGATGAAGCTGAACAGTTTTGTCTCATCAAACCCTCAACATGAGCAGAAAGGGCCCAGCTGTGCCTGCGTTCACACCATTCACATAATCTGTACTGGTGACGATGTCCTCAGTGTGAAATACTGACTGAATCATGCAAGAGCTCCATTAATTTAGCATTAAGGGCACTTGAGACACCCATACACAATGTATGGCCCAAATACTCTCTCCGTATAACAAAGGATTAAGAAGGAAAATACTGTTACGAGGCCAACATGTGAGCGGAAATCTAGATGTGAATGTATTTCATTTACATTGTTAATTCACTTATGTGTGCTCTGTATGATGAGGGCTTTGTAATATGCAGGAAATCATTGTTTTTTTCTCAACATCTGCAAGACTAAATTCAATGAATGTAGGATGTATAGGATGTGTAAGCGGATCTTGCAGGAATTATTTGGTCTTCTATAACATAATGTTACATTATTGTGATATTTAGGTGTACTAAGCAATTTTTTTAGTAAGGGGTGCGTCACCTGCTTGTTTCCCTGGATATCCAAGTGCATTAACTGGAATGTCCCACAGTATGGCATTAAACATATCTTTCATTTATTCAGTAAGTGGGGTCTCCTCTCCACTGCATTTGACCTGTAACATGGCTTGGTGGCATCATCTCCTTGTCTCCTTGGAGAAATAGAAGTTTAATGCTATATGGTGGAACATTTCTAGCCTGATTCATCAGTCGGTTTCACTTCATGGAAACTGTCTCACATTGCAGCATGAGGATTCATTCGCTCGATGGTAGGCGGGTACTTTTTTTATTTAACCAATCGCTGCTATTTGGTCATGACATATGTAATGCGTAGCTAATGGGGCTAACTATCAAGCTTTTTCCAAATCCCGTAAGAAGAAGGGCAATAATGTCATTCCCCTTGAAAAAATTCACCAAACATTCTCTTTGTTCCGACTTTAAATCCTCGATCGACAGAATGTATGGCTCTTCGCTGATTGGCTGGTGCTCGAACTCGCACTTCCAGGGTTCTTCCAAACCATCTAGTGTATTACGATTCGTGACCTAGTCGCTGGAATGAAATGAAATTGAGAGGAGGCACGAGGTGGCGCCAGGCATGGTAATGACATCTCCGTCAATACAAGGAGGTGGTGAACCCTCCAGCAGAAAAGTTACACAGTGCAGAAATTTTGTGTGACTGCTTGCATGAAAAATACCATATAGTTATTCATTTAGTATTTATATAATTGCTGTGTGTGTGTAAATAGTACCACATAAAAATCTAATATTAACCGTCTAAATCACTTTCAGCTTCCTGTTATATAATTTGAAGACTTTTTCCAATTCAAAAGATGTAATATTAGGTTTAAATGTCTAATCACTATGGCAACAGTCCTAAATTTTCATCATTCTAAAAGTACTAAAGACAGGCCAAGTCTTACTGACACTTCATGGCCATCACTTTTTTAAAAACAGGAAAAATTTATTATAACATGCGTCATGTGTCTTTTACGCATCAACCAAGAGCACCTCATCATCAGAAATCAGGTATGTATGAGAAGAACGGTAAAGCTAAAGACTCAAGACTTCACTCTCATCTCAGTTTATGAAAGGAAGGAGCATTATACTTGGCACCAGAGAGGGGCTATTAGAGTGGTCTGTGGTCGGAAATGTCAGGATGGGCTTATCCGTTCGCATGCGTAATGAGCGCGCGGTGCCAAGAGCGGGACTCATAACCAAAGCGCCATCTGTCCACCGGCCACTCTGACCACGCGCTCCGACGCAACAGGCGTATCACCGCTCCGAGACACTGACAGGTTTCATCAATGGACAACATGATCATACAGCTGTCTTCAAGGTTTTACTAGTTTTGATTTTTTTTGTGTGATATTGCCGTGCGTAAAAATGGAAAACTCGACCAAGGTAGCGAACCAGACTTTGGGTGTGTGGACAGATTATAGCATCCAGTACAAAGTGGTGAGTACTTTTTTACTCTTCTTCATCTGCGCTTTGGGGATGGTCGGAAACGTGATGGTGATCCTGGTTGTGCTGACCACGAAGCACATGCGGACCCCCACTAACTGTTATCTGGTCAGTTTGGCCGTGGCGGATCTGATGGTTCTTATAGCGGCAGGTTTACCCGCGATACCCGACAGCATCTTCGCTTCGTGGGTGTTCGGACACTACGGCTGCCTGTCCATCACTTACTTCCAGTACCTGGGCATCAACGCGTCCTCGTGTTCCATCACTGCGTTCACAATAGAAAGATACATCGCCATTTGCCACCCGATCAAAGCCCAGTTTCTCTGCACACTTTCCAGAGCTAAAAGGATTATTGTGTCCGTATGGGTTTTTACGTCCCTCTACTGCGTAATGTGGTTCTACCTGTCAGATATACAGGAGTTAAAATACGACAATATCGTCATTAAAACTTGTGGCTACAGAGTTTCCAGGAAGTACTATCTGCCAATTTACTTCTTTGACTTTGGCGTCTTCTTCGTGGTGCCTTTACTGCTGTCCGCGGTGCTGTACGGACTCATCGCCAGAATCCTGTTCTTGAATCCGTTGCCCTCGAACCCTAAAGACAAGAAGAAGAAGAAGAAGAACGCACAAGCCAACAGCCACGCGGCCAACAACAACACGAGCTGCAAGAACTCGCGCCACTCCAGCTCCACCGCAACATCCCGCAGACAGGTGGGTGGCACCGGGCCAGAGAGCAGCGCACTGCGGACTGTGCCAAATGGTCCACTGAGGTAAAGTGCGCCTGGAGTTATAGAGAGCACTTTTACGCATGGGTTAAGCGCAGTAGTAACAGTAGAAATGGTACTCTGGCGCCAAACCCACCGGTGGAAACATTTTGCTAGTAATAAATATAATGAGGAATGTGGTTTTATTTGGAAAGCAAAAACATGGGTTTCAGGTTCTTGTTGATAAGAGCCATTTTGAGTACTTTTCACAGTTCAAGATAAATTAGTTTTGAATTGTTTATGGCAACAGTGTAAATTCTTCATCAGTTTGAAACCCATTATAATTTTGTAACACCCCAAAACATCAAAATAACACAAGTTTTAAAAATACATTATTGCACACAGTTAAACACAGTGAGAAGATTCAACATTTATTTTGTCTAGAGAAAGATCATCTAATTTGTGTGAACTCACTAATTAAAAATGAAAAGGCAAACAAATACAAAAAATATTTTTTTTAAATTGATGAAAAATATAAAATGAAGATATTACATTGAATTGTTGAAAGTAAATAGTATTACTCACAATGTAGGTAATGATCATGCACAGTACAATCTATTATTTTCAAATTAGTGTATTTAGGCATCGAGAAATCAGCTTGCATCAGCTTTGGTCTTATTGAATAGACTCCATCCGTAACCATTGGTGACAGGGGACAAAAAATTATCTCCCAGAGGCTTTTCAGGTCTGACAGTGACAATATATTCGGCTTTGATTTCTGAATCTCATCACTTCGCTCTTCTCACTTGAGGTCCTTCAGACTAGCCCCTGACAAAGGACATTGTTCTCTCCACAATGACACTTTTGTATGAAAACTGAGCCTGGAGGAGCAGATAGTGTAGAGATATGAGACCAGATACACTGTCCATCATGAAAACAAAACAAAATGAGGTGTTTGTGATTTAACATGTTCTTTTGGGGGAAAAAATATACAGATATAGTTGTTCTTTGAGAAAAAAAAAAGAGAGAGTGCAGATCAGTACAATTATTTGCACTGAGAACCATTTTTAGTTTAGGGTCTGCCACCTGTTTGTTCCCTTGGAAATGTAATTCTTTTGTCTAGAATGTGCCACAATATAGATTAAATGTATCATGAGGGAGACAAGCAGGTGGCAGCACTACGCTACATTATAATTCAGATCTGTGGAGAGTCGCCGCTAATTACAAAAGGAATTATTTTATTTTTAAACAAGAAACACCTGTAATGAATAAATGCTAGATGGATATGTTTCACTTCATACCAGGTAGCAGACCACCAGAAAAGCTGTGCAGTGCACCTTTAATATCATGACAAATTTGGAAAAGAGACATAGGTTGACACTCAATTTCATTTCTCTCCAGTGACTAGGTCAGGAATACGGAATACACTAGACTGTTTGCAAGAACCTTGGAAGTGCGAGTTCGGGCACCAGCCAATCAGCGAAGAGCCATACATTCTGTGTTGGCCACGATTCAATGTAAATTTTGTGTAAAATAACACCTTTAAAGAGTTTTCAATAAAAGGTGCTGGTTTGTACTGTAATAGAAGACCTTTATATCAGTTGCCATAGTGGAGTGACTGTGGTTCTAATGCATGCTGTCGTCGTGTCCTTAGGAAAGACACTTCATCCATCTTGACAGTGTAGGTGTACTCGTGGTGTGTGAATGAGACAGATGGGAATTAGTTCACAGCTACAGCTACAACCCGGTGTGTTTACAGCATGTTATGTTCATTAACGCACACCACCAAATGAACAAATATACAATATATTAAAGGGACAGTCTAGAATTTTGGACATAGGATCTTATTTCCTAGTTAGCTAGAGTGTTGGAGACGTGTGGAAACACATTTTTAAATATTCCATCCAGTCCTATTTGCAGAGGTCACTGGTGCTAGGCTAACACCTGTCAATGGCGATAGTTATCCTGCCACTAAAAACAGTCTTACCCAGTCCACAAAACACCCGAAGAAAACCTATTATTACCTCAGACTGTCAATGTAAATGTCTGTGTTGATAGAATAATGTTTGAAATAAAACCAACCTTGCATCGCATGAATCATCGCATGTTGAGGGACTATTTTCAGCAGCGGAATTTTACTTTGCCGGTAAGATAGGTGCTAGGTGATATCACTCTGCCGCTGCCAAGCTTTCAATCAGGAAGTACAACACACTGCTGCTGCTCAGACATAAATCCTTCAAATTCAAGGTTGGTTTTACTTCTAAAATTATTCTATCAACACAGACATTCAGATTGGCAGTCTAATGTAATAACTGTTTTTGCCTCGGATGCTTTGTGGAGTGGGTAAAACTGTTTTTAGTGGCGGCTAACTATGGCCATTGACATGCACTAGCCTAGCACCAGTGACCTCTACAAATACAAGGACTAGATGGAATATTTAATAAAGTGTCTCCACGCCTCTCCAACACTCTGGCTCACTAGGAAATGAGGTCCTAGGTCAAAAATTCTGGACTGTCCCTGTGAAGGTCCAATATTATGCAAAATTTACTCTTAGTAAGTAAATCTTTATTTATATAGCGCTTTCACAGACATTTTCTGTCCCCAAAGACGCTTTACAGAGCATTATTCAGCATTATTCATTCACTCTATACCCTGGTGATGGTAAGCTACTATTGTAGCCACAGCTGCCCTGGGGCACACTGACAGAGGCGCGGCTGCCATGCCACTCGGCGCCATTGGTCCCTCCGACCACCACCGTCACTCACACACTTTAATACTAGGCAATGTGGGTGAAGTGTCTTGCCTAAGGACACAATGATTGAATTGATTGTATTTAACTGACCATGACTATCAACTGTTTATGGAGACCTGTAGCATGTTTTGGGTTGATGGGGGAAACCGGAGCACCCGGAGGAAACCCATCCAGACACGGGGAGAAAATGCAAACTCCACACAGAAAGGCCCAGGCAACCCGGGGATCGAACCCAGAAGCCTTTTTGCTGTGAGGCATGACTGCTAGCCACTCAGCCACGGTGCCGCCTAGTTGTGAAATATGCAGGGTTTGTGTGTTAAACGTGTGTGAACGAAACAAAACACAACTTCAAGTATGCTTGTGATGAGGAAACAACATTATAACACAGATCCGAAAATAGTATATGTGCTCTTAAATACCACTACTAATACTGCAACCACTACTACCAGGCTCTCACCAAAATTTACTAGTACTACCTGAAAATGAATACAGTGTTACTCCACTATTTTAACCATGTTTTTCCTGATCCCCTCCGCAGGTAACCAAGATGCTAGCTGTGGTCGTGATCCTGTTTGCGACGCTCTGGATGCCCTACCGCACTTTAGTGGTGGTCAACTCCTTCTTAGACCACCCCTATCTGGACAGCTGGTTTCTCCTTTTCTGTCGTGTTTGCATTTATCTCAACAGCGCTATCAACCCGGTCATCTACAATGCCATGTCCCAAAAATTCCGCGCGGCTTTCCAAAAAATTTGTGGTTGTCGTAGGAAAGAGTCTGGCAAACCAGCTGCGTACAGTGTTGCTCTAACTTACAGCGCCGTGAAGGAGACGTCAATGGTAGAAAGCACGGATCACTATACGACTGAATTAGAGGAGCTAACGGTCAATGATGAACTCCTAAGAGATCAGAAAATCATGTACCCAGATACTTGTATTTACAGTAGGGCTGACTTCAACAATGCTTGAAAATGTTTGGTTTTAATTTATATTTTAAATAGAAGTGTAATGGTTTGAGTGACTGTTGACATTTAGGAGACCCACCACATATAAACACCACTACTGCTAATAGTGTGGAAAGGTAAACAGAGGTGACGGTAATGATCTTCAACAGTATTGAACCGGTGCAGATGAGCTTTTAGCAGTGTAGTGAGCGTGATCGTCCATGTTTGATAACTTAACCTTTACACATAATGGAAATGTATGCGTATAAGAGGCTATAAGAGTAATATAATGGCATGTTTTGAAGCTGTATTTCAGGGTTATCCTGTTGTCCTTTTATTAGCCTGACTTGAACTGTATTGTGAGGTAACATGGGAAAAGTACTTCAGATACACAGGACAGGACTAAAACAGGTCTAAACCAGGACTAAAATGGACTGAGGACTGAGTGTCGGGACTGGTCTGGAGGTGTGCCTGCGTAGACTGTTAGGTGACTGTGGGAGACACCTTGCAGACACCTTGATCCGCAGGCCTGGGGTTCTCTTTCTCGCTCTCAAGTCCAAAATTAGTCCTGGTTTAGCCCTGTTTTAGTCCTGTTTCAGTCCTGGTTCAGTCCTGAGCACATGTGTTGTAGCCTATGATTTATGCTCTGTAGGTGATTATGAATGGTGTTATTGTTTATCACATCAGTGACGTCATGAATCGTGTACTCCCACATGTCCTATGTCCAAAAATCCTCACTACACCACTGGTGGTGAGGATATAGTTGCGACAAGACCTAAACTGAACCAGTGACAATGTAATTCAGGGGTATTTGTGCTACCTGTTGAGCCACAAAGTACTATATTGCATTGCATAGTTTGACAACTGTAGCGTGGGTTTTCAAATAATATATTCAGATAATTATTCAGGTAATAATAATGTAATAAAATGATGTATTTCAAATGCTGCACGGAACCAAGAATGAAGCAGAAATTTGGATACCTATTGCACTTTTTTTTACCAGGCTACCTCTCATTGTTGAAAATATGAACTGACTTGCACCAAACATAAATCCACAATAAAAAACAAATGGAAGAATATAAAAACATTTTGGGTAGAGACACATTCTCACAGCTTCATCAGCAGTACAAATGTGGAGAAGGCTTTTAATCTTTGTATAAAATTTGATTTAGTTTAAAGTAATCTAAAAGTACATAGAAATATTTAAGATTTGCTGTTAGATAAGATAATTCATTCACTGTTGACTAATATCATAACTGCAATTAGATGGACCACCTCAAAAAGTAATAAAAGTTGAGTATTTTGGTGGGACAAAAAGCTAACTACAAGCAGTGTTCTGTCTAACACTCTGATACTCAAGTGAGACTTTTATCCTAGCTTTGTTTTAACACAAGAACTGATTTAGCTGGAACTATAACAGGTGAGCTGATTTGTGTTGTTAAACAAGTTCTTCTCATATAACATTGTCACTGATAGTGTTTGCAAATGTCACTTAAAAGTATCAATAGTTCAGACACACTTCCAATAACTGAAACATTTTAATTAGACCAGATTGAAGAACTGCCTTCTCAAGGAACACAATAACACAAAGTAGAAGCTGGGATTGAACCTGGGGCTGTGCAGCTAGATATCTTTTAAATGAAACCGGGGTTCAGTCTTTTCTTATAGTCAATGATGAAGTCTTTTAATAGACGGGTCTACAGCAGGCCCCAGAGTTCAGACTTTGAGAGAACACTTGTTATTGTGTTTAATAGCAATGATTAATTTATGTATTGTTTATGATTTGGAAATATAACTTGAAATATTAATGTTCTTTTGCTTTTTGATAAAGAGTAGGGGAAGGTACTGAGGTACAACAGTAAAAGTACAATACTTAAGTGAAATACAGAAAACTAAAACATTTACTTAAGTCAGTTTTATAATGAATACTTTTACTTTTACTTCACTACATTTGAGGGCAGGTATCTGTACTTTCTACTCCACCACAATTTTGATCTGGACTGAAAATTTAAAAGTACTTTTCTTTCTAGTTTGAGATCAAATGGCTGAAACTCATTTAATTTGAGTTAACGTCCCAACATTGAGCAAACCAAAAACACAAAAACAGCTAAGATAGAAAAATAAGAAATCAGTTGAATCACTTCAAATCAGCGGAATATGTTATCATAATCACTACACGTTTATTTAATTATTCAAAAAATTTCAGCAAAATACTTCAGCATTTTACTCTTAAAGTAACAGGTACTTAAGTAGTTTTACTTAGGTAGATTTTTTCATGTGATACCTTTACTTTAACTTGAGTATTTCATCCAACAAAATTGAGGGCTTCATCCATACTTCGACCTGTATTTTGCAGTCTATATTGCTGCATTTTAGGTGATGTCAATACATTCTATAGGCCAATAATATTTAATAAATATGTGGTCAGCTAAAATGAATATTAATCAAATTCTACTTTTTGCTGTAATACAGTGCATTTTTGGATCCAGTCCCTAATAGAAATGATCAGGTTCAACATTTGTGGATTTACCTTTTGGATATTTCATGGTGAAGTACAATGTAATCAACAGGAAAAACTGGCCATTGCCTTCCATCTCAGAGTATGAAATCATCATATTTTACTATCTGAAAAAAACGCCAATCATTGAACCAATAATTGTAATGTTGCTTTTACAGTGAGTCACTCTTGAACCTTTTGGAGAATTTGTTTTTTTTTTTACTGAAGGACCTGACCATCAAAGTGAGATGAACTCTGTCACAAATGAAACAGAAAGCTACCACTTTTCCAAAAAAAAGCAAAAACACTGATACTGCAGAAAGAAATGTACAAGGAACTAATTTAGAAAGTGCCATTTGGATGTATAAAGGATGTATTTTGTATAAAGTTTTACTTGGACTCAAAAATACATGAATTATAACTATTGCTTTAAAGGTGCACTATGTAACTTCTACAGTGTAGGGCTTGCTATGTGCTTGTCTCTGTGGATCTTGCCTGGAATTCTTACCATGTGGAGGCTTGCTTCTCCATAGATCTGACCATTAACCTGTCTCCATTGTGCAGTTTATGTCCAGTTACAAATGCACCTTTACTTATAGTAGCCATTGTGTTTTTCTATGCTCATCTACAATCATAAACATGTGGGAAAAGGCGTTATGGGAGCCCTAGGGAACAATGTACAATCCGTTACTCTAAGTAGCTAATTAATGAATGAAAATGAATTACACTTGCATGAGGAGTTCTAAACAATCTTGACAAATCTTAAAAAACAATTCTTCAGTGAATAAATGAAGATTACAGATTACATAAACAGACAAATGAAGCAATAGTTACAGCTCATGTGTAATGTTTTGTACAGTGTTTTATAGTCTGTACATATGGGACAGGGTCAGTGCCTCTGGAGCTTTCACTATCACAGCCCTGAGTCCTCTTTCTCTCTTTCTCTTCCCCTTTCCCTTTTTTCTCTCTCTCCCTGTCTTTTTGCTTCATGCTGAGTAAATGTAACACAGGATGTATACAGAAGTGTGAAGTCTCCCATAGCGTTCGGCTCCAGTCAAATGAAGCTCATGATGTTGGCGGTTATAGGGTGAATTTAGAGCCAGGACCATATTAGGAGTAGAAGTTTATCTACTGACAAAAAAGTGAAATAATAAAACACCAGGATCATGTAGATGAGGTTAATATGAAAATTTTAAGACCAAAATGATAAGAGGTGAATGTTTCTCAGTGTAAAGTAAATTTATAAATACAGTCTATGGTCCTTTATGTGGAAGTGCATAATATTGGTGTGTCTTTTCATACATACTGTTTACAATTGAAGGTCTGTGTTAAGCCTGGCAAGTCATACTTATACTTTTGGATCCAATCAGAAGCATGCCTTGCAGATGTCCTTGTTTTATAATTGTTTTATGATTTAAAGTTCTGGTGTACATTATATGCCTTTTCTGTCGCTTAGTAAACTAAGACAGATAGTGTGCTTTTTTTTTTAACATTACACAATTTATACCTTTTAGTGCAATTTTCACAGTTCTCAAAAATCTAACCTTGAGGTGTTTTTTCTATGTCCATGGGTTTCCGGGTGATACAAAATTTGCATTGTTGCTATAATAATTAATAATGAAAAGTCCTCATAATGTTGCTTATGAACAGGAAGATAAAATCCATGAGAGGATTTTCAAAAGATTACATCAGTTCACTTTGGGACTACAAAATATTAGCTTGTAGATAAATCTGTTTTGTGCAGTACATTTGTTATGCAATGTCCCTGTCAAATAATTAAATAAATAAATGACTTAGTTAGGTTAGTTAGAGATAATATGTTTTGAACATTTAAAAATTTAAGAACGCATATACATATACATATAGTCTGCATACTTGGAAAGATATTCAAAACACAGACTTTTAATGGAAAAACAAAAAACTGAAGAAAAATAAAAAATCAATCTTCAAAAAAGGAGTAGGAAGAAGCATAGTTTATTTAATTTTATCCCTAATTTACTGTATTTCATTCTTTAAATAAATAAATAGAGAGCATTTGCCAGGCTAAGAAAGCACATTAAGTGATAATGAATCTTAAATAATGTAACAATGTGTAAATTTTTATTTGTAAATAACTCAGCAAAGCCCTTTTTGTCATTGCCTTGGTCATGTTTTGTTTTTATATTGTGATGTTTGTGCAAATAAAGTTATTCATGCAGAAATCTGTGGTCTTATTGAGCTAATTCAACCCCAAACATCTGAAAAATAAATGAATAAATAAACAGAAAGTAGCCTTGTGGTCTTCCAGAGTCTGACATTATCTGTTTGGTGGGGTCTTGATTTTTGTTCTAACTTTTGTAATTGCTCATTATTAAACCTGGACAATACAAGAGAGAAAGTACAGCGAAAAGGCAGTACAACCACCTACTCACTGTCAGACACTTAACTTATAATTATTTTGTACAGCAGACTCAGTTATCATGGTTATTAGGAGTGTCCTATTGTTCCCACTTAAAATATGGCAAAAGACACAATAAAGGCCAAAAAGA